GAGCCACAAGCCCCCGTGCAGCGTGGCGTGGCGGGGGCGGCGGGGCCGCCGCAGCAGGCTCCTTGGGCGGCGCTGCTCCGCCCGGCTGCTGCTGCTGCTGCTGCTGCTGCTGCTGCTGCTGTTGCTGCTGCTGCTTGACGGCGGCGGCAGCGGCGCTGTCGCTGCGCCACGTCGCGGCGGCCTTGCTGCACAGCCGCCAGGTGGTTGGCATCTGTAATCATTATGTTGTATCCATTTGTCAGGAATCATGTGTGTAGATAAGCATCGATGTTGATGTGAGCAGGTTTGCCAGATGGTGTGAAAGGAGCATTGGCCACACAGTGCCGCTGGCTGTCCACACTATTTGCTGGTGTGTGTGTAAGCGCAACGTGGTGAGGATGACTCAGGGCATAGGCCTGCCGTGTTGGCAGCACGTCAGCAGGAGCGCTGGGCACAACTCGGATGTTGGTGGGTGCCCTGCCTCACCATCATGACTGCAAGCAAAACGAAGGAGATCCATTCGGGGATGACGATGTTCAGGAGTGCCCCTGGGGTGTAGGGCACGCGACGCACGCGCAAGCGTGCGTGTGTGTATGTGTGTTTGTGTATGTGTGCACGCGCAAGCGTGTGTGCGCGCGTGCGTGTGTGTGTCTGTGTGTAAGAGAATGTGTACAAGTGTGTGGAGATGGGGTATGTGTGTGGAAATGGTTTGTGTGTATGCGTGTGTGTGTGTGTGTGTACATGTGGGCGTAGAAGGTGCGTGTGTACGCCAAACTAACAAGGCATGCCGGCGACTGCTGCAGTCATGCCCATGCATCTTGTCCAGGCGCAGACAAGGGACGGTTTGTTGTTTCTGACCTGCTGTTGCCCCGAGTATGGTCGGCGCGGTGAACATGGCCGGCAAGTCCCAGTCCACTACCGGCCCGCCCCGCAGCGGGTGGCGCTTGAATGCGTTTGCGCCGACATTGGTGACGCTGCTGGCCGCAATCGCGAGGTTGGACAGCGCGACGGCCTCGGCCGAGGTGAAGCCGGTCGGGAGTGACGTCAGCGCAGGCATAAGGAGTATGCCTGCGGGGTGCGAGTAACGATGCGAAAATCAATCAGGGTTTTGCATCGAAGTTAAGGGCCTTGCCAAGTAGGTACATTCAGGACGCCAAAAAGTCGAATCACAATGCCGATGAATCTTGGTATGAAAGGGAACGGGCGAGTCGTGATCAGACGGCCGTGGCCGCTGAATGGGAGCAACGGACGAGGCCGCAGGGGCCGCGCGCCCTCACCTCCGCCAACACCAGCGCCTGATGCGATGAACATGCTGAACGCCGCGATGACCAGTAGGCCCCACTGCCAGCCAGCGAGAGGCCACGTCAGCCTGACGGGCGGCGGTTGCGGTGCTGCTCGCGGAAGCTGGGCTGGCGACGGTGCCGAGACTGGCCGCGGCGTCTCCGCAGGCTCTGGCTGCTGCAGGATACGCTGCCGATGCATGGCGGCGCTGGCGCCAAAGTGGCTGGTGCAAAGGAGTGCGAGGAGAACCAGCACGCCGACATCGTCTGTCCGGTGCGCGAGCGGTCGGCAGCGCTGCGGCAGGTGCACTAGCGCGCCCTGCGCGCGGGCGCCTTGGACGCGCATGCGGAGTGTGGGACCTGTTTGGTGTTTTGTTTAGACCTTCTCTCCTTGCAGGCGGTGATGCGTGCTTATTGTTTGTTTCAGGTGTCTGTTGCTGCGTCTGTTGCTTTGTGATACGGTATTCGCAGGTTGCATTCCTGCGAGAAGAATCTGACGGCTTACGAGTATGGATGCTTTGGAAAAGCGTGAGGCCTGACCGCTGGCTATTTCCCCCGTTCACTGAACGGGTCACCCGTCGGGTGATGGGTGAGAGTCTGAGGTGTTTGCACGCAAAGAGGGCGTGTAGATCTGGTCTTGTGTCTCCTGCCTCAAACTTACAGGCCCTTCACGACATGAAGGAAGCAGCAGCAGCCTTGTTTGCGAGGTGGCCACAACGCATCATGGACTGTGTCCGTGGCGGCAGGGGCAATGCAGAGTGGTGCATTTAACTTTGCTTTGCCTGTGCACGTGATGGATTCAGGAGATAGCAAAGGCCATGCAAGGTGCAATGTGAGGGGGGCCCCGCGCCGCTGCGCTTGTTGTTGGGGGCAGGATGGAGGGGGTTGGAGGGTGCGCCACTCCCGCCCCCATGTCCGCCGAATTGTCAGGGCTGGGCAATCACTTTATGATGATACGAGAACACAGGGTTGCAACGTGCACGATCCTGGACGCACACTCATGCACCGTCCTCGCCCCTCGCCGCCGCCTGCGCCAGCTGCCGCAGCCTCGCCAGCAGCCCCTTAGTCATAAACGTGTTGGTGCGCCCCGCCGCCTCCGCCAGCCGCGCCAGCTGCCCCGCGCCCAGCGCCGCCCCAAACCCGGCCGCCAGCGCGGTGAAGCCCTGGCAGAGCTTGGGGTTGGCGCCCAGGGGGCCGTCGGTGGCGGCCGCCATGGCGGCGACCAGGCGCGGCAGCTGGGCGACCACGCACTCCGCCCTGGCGTCCAGCAGCGCTTGCAGCACCAGCAGGTGCGCCTCGCGCCACCCGGCGGCCGCGGCAGCGGCAGTCGCGCTGCTGGGTGGGCAGAGCTGGGAGTCCACCAGGGCCAGAAGCATGCTGCCGGGGGGGGGGCGAGCATGTAGGGGTGTGCATGACTGGAAGTTTGGGGGTTGCGAGGCGATGCAAGCAACGCCGGCTTGCGCGTCCACGACGTGCAGAATGCACTAGCAGATTCCTGCGGAGGCTGGCGCGCCGGGCCATGGTGCGATCCGTGGCGGCGCCCCGCCGCGGCGCCGCGGCCGCTCACCCCGCCCTGATGCCGGGCTCCTGCTTCGCCAGCCGCGCCAGGGCCTGCGCCTGGGGCGCCCGCAGCTCAGGCGATGCGAGCAGCGGCCGCAGCACCTCGTCCATCAGGCAGTCCGGATGGCAGCGGGCTGGCGGGTGGCGGGGGCGGTCGAGGCAAGGTGTGACGGGGCCAGGTGTGGCCAAAGGGGTGGACAGAGGAGGGGGGGCCAAGTTGGGGTGAGGCTGCGAAACCGGCCATGCACCATCACTTTTATGCACTGGCGAGCGCCAGGCGACCGCCTTCTCAGGCCCCAGCCAGCCCGCGGTTGCGCACCCGCCGCTTGCAGGCACTCCACCAGCGGCTGCGGCGCCGCGCCAGTCAGAGCCCGCGCCTTCGGCAGCACCGCCGCCCGCAGCACGGCGCCGGCCGTGGCCGCCGGCGCGCCGGCCGCCACGAGCCGCCGGCACAGCAGCTGGACCCCGTCCACAGACAGGCCCGCCAGCGCCTCCGCCGCGCGCTGCGCGGCGGCGCCCTCTTGGGGGGCGCCTGCGCCCGGGAGCGCTCCACAGGCGGCTGCCCACGCCACCGGCTGCTGCAGCAGCTGCCAGTCTGCCGCGACCTCATCCAGGGAGGCGTCCAAGGCGGCGAGCTGTCGCACAAACGCCTCCAGCAGATCGGCGCTGCCCTGCAGAATTGCTGGATTAGGGCCAGCCGCCGGACGCTGCTGCGGCTGCTGCTGCTGCTGCTGCTGGTGCTGCTGGTGCTGCTGGTGCTGCTGGTGCTGCTGGTGCTGCTGGTGCTGCTGGTGCTGCTGGTGCTGCGGGGACGATTCACGGAGTGGCTGGCCCGCATGCGGCGGTGCCGCACCACCATCCTCCCCAAGCCGTGGTCCTACGGTGTGCAGGCCCAGTGCGTGGATGTGAGGCAACGTGCAAGCAGGCATGGTTTTCAGGGACATGCTGCCAAGGGCAGCAATGTCACGGCACCCGGCTCACGTTTGGGCGATGACGATGGCTGCTGCCCTATCTGTGCGCGGCCGCTGTTGTCGTCCCAGCCGTCGTTTTGCACGAGATCCGCATCGGCCCCGCCCCAGCTGCTCGTCGCCTCTGCCAGCAGCAGGCTCTGGCGCTGCAGCCATGCAGGCACTGGTGCCGGTCCGGGCGGGCCGCAGCAGGCGCCCCAGCCGCACGCCCCGCCGGCGGGGCTGAGGTCAAGGGCGCCGAGAACGAGGCGGGCCGCGGCGCCCACGCCGCCGCATCCTGGCTGTTGGCAGCTGGCCAGCTGCAGCAGCACCTGAACGGCTTGATGTGAAGAGTTGCGCTGCCCCTGCAGCTGTGGCCCGAGCCAGGCGGCGATTGCCATGACGAGGCGGTGCTGGTGCATTGGGGGCATCTGCGCCAGGCGGGTGCCTGCGCCATCGGCACCAGCGTCCGTGCCGCTTATTAGCCAGGCCAGGAGCTCATCCACGAGCTTAGAACCTTCCTGTCATGTAAACAGCGCTCATCAGCGACGTACGCGGGCATCATGGTCGTCAAAGCAGCAGTACCATCCCAAAGATACCTGACACCGTGAAGACAGGCTGCACAGCATCATTGAGACCTTGTAAGCACCATCACTGGCACCAAGGGACGCGAGCAAAGCGTGCGGGCTTGCCAGATCCATATTGAATGATCTGGCGCGAACGGGTGAAATGGTTCTGAGCGCGTACTGGGCTTTATGATCACTGTACACTCCTATCTGTGGCGTCAGACAAGCTCAGAGTGCACCTCTTTCCCATGCCGCTTGCACACACGAGCAGAGAGTATCCGTTTTGCGGCGCAGCTGCACGGTTTTCTGATGAGGTCCCAATGAGGTAGCCTGCTTTTTTCACTTCTCTCCTTCCCTGAAGCCCACCCACCCCATCCCAACCACCATTCAACCACAAGCAGCAGGATCCCCTACGACTCCCAATTTCAAAAGGTGCCGGGCATGTGGCCCCATCCTCGCGGTCACCTGCCACTTTTTCAGTCCCATACAACTCTCTCGCATCTCTCTCTCTTACATCAACAAAGTGAGACACGTACACGGCTGCATTCACAACAGAGCAGCCTCGCACGCCCGCACAAATCACTCCTGCATGCCCGTGCGGCCGCGGGCGGGCATCACAGCCCCGCGGCCGCCGCGTGGCCGTAACCCTCCTCCTCCAGCTGCTGCTGCTGCGGCGGCGGCGGCACCACCAGCCTGTGTGCAGTCGTGAACTTCACAAACCTCGTCATGCTCGGGTGGTACTCAGGCTCCTCAAGCAGCCGCTCCACCGCGAGCACCGCCGCCTTGCC